ACATTCAATAGACTGAACAACATTCAAGAGGTAGAACTTAAGTCTGTCTCCCGTGTCATTGATAGGTTTAGCATAAAAACCAAAGCAATAAATGCTTCATTGGTATGCTGAAGGAGCCATGAAATGTAAAACACACAGTGCTCACTGATGGATATTCATTTAATTTTTTCAGTTTTTGTATTGCAGACAAATAGGTAATAACCCTGTTCAATTAAACAATAAAAAGTATAGATAGAATCAATATTACTTCTTCTAGAGAAGAAACAAAGGAAAGTGACCGGGCATTAAAACTGTGATCTGTGAAAATCTTTGACTGCAAATAGGGTGGTAAACATGGAACCAAAATTCCTCTGCAATTTTTAGCATATTGGCTTACTGATATTATTATAGGATAAATAATATTTCTTTCACTTTTAAACCATATCTTTCTGCAGGATACTTTCACAAACTGCTCCCAAGTCCTTCTGCATCTTATGGTTTAACATGACATTGTTTGGTGTGCTTGTTCCAGAAACAAGTACGCTCTTGTATGATCATGTTTACCTGCAATGACAACCTACAATCTATCTTCTTGAATTTGGTCCAATTTTCCAAACCTTCACACATCTCAGATTTTACTTTAACCTCCACTCTTTCTAATCTCTTTTAGTGTAATAGTGGTAGGTTTGGTAAATATAAGATTCAGCTCATATTTCAGGTCATTTACAAAGACATCAGATATCACTGCCTATAAAAAAAATTTGCCATGCTCTGAAGCATTTCCCAGGCTTGCTTTGTTAGGACCAGTTGATGTCTGCACAAAATATAAGGCTCTTACAGTAGCTGAAGTAAAAAGAAAAAAGAGACTGAAAACAATTGTTTCCTCATTATTGCCCGATTCAAGCAAAGGACATTTCTGAGCTAAGAAATTTTATTCACATTCTGGGATTAGACTATTGACAGTACAAAACACTTCTGATTAGCAAAGATATCCAGATCTGCTGCTCTGCATGCAGCTATTTAAAATTCAGCTCAATTCATAGAATTTTTTAATAGTATTAGAAATGGCCAAGCATAGAAACAGAAACAATAATGAAAAATTCCTAATGCAGAATTGTGTTATACTAAGGATGGCATTCCACTATTAAACTCTTTCATCTCTTTAAAAGGTCTTGGTCATAATGGAGACCATAATAAAATTATACTCTTATCATAACAAAGTGGCCCAATCTGATGTAAGTTACTTTTGTACATTATGTAAGTAATAGGAAAGCAAAATAATACTTCAGCCCAGAAGCTGTGGTCAAGAGACCACTAGCCAAATTTAATTAATATATATAGTATTTTTCCACCTAGAAGATCAAAATGATATGTGTTTCCTCGTTATCAAGAATCTATTTTTCTTTTAAATCTTAGCTTCTCCCAGTCCATGATTAACAATAACCCCTAGCACTGTGTAATTAATTCTAGAAAGGCCATAAATGCATAGGAAGCAAATGAAGCACAGCCTCATCTAAAATCAATATGTGCAGGGCCTTGTGTGCACTGACTAGTTCTTCCAGTATTCTCTGTTGTATGTAAGGGCCAAGGGAGTCTCTGCAGTCTCTCTTCTAGCTGGCTTGGGCAGTAGCAGCCCTTTTCTTGACATACATGCGTTAAAATAATAAAACAACAGATCCATGACCATACATTAATATGTCATTGCTAATGTTACATGGCCAATCTGTAAGGGTGTGTGCAATGTGAGAGTATTTGCTTAATTTGCATTATCAGATCAAGGACATTTTCACTTCAAAGGGAATCACAAGTAACAGAGAAAGCAATAAACAAAACCCACAGCAAGCAATAACTGAGATTATAACAAGGACTAAAGCTCCCCAGTCACTAACTGATGGTCCATTAAAAAACTATAGGCATAGCTTTGGATATGACCAATCTGGACTTCATAACTAATAAAAAAGGAGAAACAAGTTCAACTGGATTATGGATACTTAAAGGGGCCTGTGGGACTATTCATAATTTATTAAGAAATGCTTAGGAGAAAGGCTGAAAGACAGAAAAAGGGTGAACTAGGGAGCAACAAGGGGCACAGTGAGGCAGAAGAACAAAGGGGACCAGCCACGTGCAACCAGCCACAAGTCCATTCACTTATCTAACTTACACTGAGCCTGATCACCACAGTCAATCCCATTTTCTAATTAAATCCTTTTTTAACTATCTTTCCATGTAAATCTCAATCTTGACACCCTGTGAGTCCTGCAAATCCTAGATACCCTCCACTGCAAAAAGTAGAGCAAGTGAATTAAGAACCATCAGCTGGTGACAGACTTGGGTGACATCAGTCTCCACGTCCGTGCTGACAGCAAGTGGACTGAATGAGGGTTTCAGCATCAGCAGCTTTGGGACCAGTACATTTTTATTTTCTCCTAGTCTGATTTTTGTGCCTATGTGTAGTTGATCAGCAAACATCAGCCTGGACTTCACAGTGAGCAAGGGTCTCTTGCAAAGCTGAGAGTCCAGTATGATGCTCAAAGGCTTTGTGAGTGCTCAATGCTTAAGAGATGGGAAAATGTCCCTGTTTGCATTTTGTCAGGCAGGGCTAGCTGGGGAGTAGCGGACCCACAGAGCAGGTAAGAAGGCCCAGTATCCAGGCAGGGGTATCAGACAGTCTGAGTGCCTGTGCTGATATTCGAGGCAGCTGACAATGTGTGCTAGCTTGTGCGCCTGGGCAGTAAAAGCATGTGTGTTCTCACTCGTGAGCTGCAGTCACAACCAGCCAGAGGAGATGACTGAAGACAGTGTCCAGTCTGTGTCAGTCCATGTAGACAGCCATGTCACAGAATTACAGAACTGTAGGGGTTAGAATGGACCTCTGGAGACCATCTAGTCCATCTCCCCCCCTTTACAGCAGGTTCCCTACAGTAGGTAAGCTATAAGGCAGGTTTTAACTCCAGAGGACACACCACAACCTTTCTGGCCAGCCTGTTCCAGTGCTCTGTCACCCTCAAAGTAAAGAATTTCTGTCTCGTGTTCGGATGGAACCTCCTGTGTTCCAGTTTGTGCCTGTTGCTCCTTGTCCTGTTGCTGGGTGCCACTGAAAAGAGCCTTCACACCTACCTGCTCACCAAATATCTATAAGCATTGATAAGATCTCCTCTCAGCATTCTCTTTCTCCAGGATAAAAAGGCAAAGGTCTCTCAGCCTTTTCTTGCAAGAAAGATGCTCCAGGCCCCTCATCATCTTTGTGGCCCTCCACAGGACTCTCCTAAGAAGTTCACTGTCTTTCTTGAACTGAGGAACCTAGATCTGGACACAGTGCTTCAGATGTGTCCTCACCAGGACAGAGTAGAGGGGAAGAATCACCTCCCTCAACCTGCTAGCCATGCTCTTTTCAATACACCCCAGAATACTATTAGACTCCTTTACCACACAGGCACACTGCTGCTTCACACTACTATTGTGTGCATGCGTGTGAATGTGGATGTGCATGGCTCCCTGGGATATGTGCCATGCCTTACTACTGGCTGAACCTGGAAACATGAGAGCTGCAGTTGCATCCAATGGTGATGACAGAGACATCCAGATCTCCAGGGGGAACTCCAGTGGCTGGGCTCCCGTGGGCAGGAAGCAGTAATAGAGTCCCTTAGTTCTGGAGCTTCTCAAAGGCAGCATCCTTAAAACATCCCTTAACACTGTCCCTCTAGTATTGGTAAATACAGGAAGTACAGTTGTTTGCACAGTTCTCACAGACCAGTCTAGACCTGTGTTTTACAGCACTTTCTTTAATTACATGGTCTCTATTATTTTTCCACTTTCACTGTACAGGATAGATGATGCTTACCTAATGAGATGCTACATATCCTCTTTGTGCTGTTACTAGGCCCCTTTATGCACAACATTCACATCTCAAACTGAGAATGAAGTGATTAATTTCCTGTGGAATCCATCAATATAATATCTAGGAGCTTCACGTTCAGCTAGTATTTTTTTCATCCTTCAGTCATGGGATTGAAGCACACATGACATCAGTAAAAAATGACAACTACAATTCAGTGCTTATGTGTCAGCAAGTCAGGAACTTTAAAACAGGAAATACGCTGTTAGTTTCCCCAGTACGAGATCTGGTTTAGGTACAGACATAACTCAAATTCTCCAGGCCTGCATACACTTGCCTTAGCCATTCAGTTAATGAGAAAGAGGTATGAAACCTACCACTAAAACAATGCCTCTGAGTAGGATATACCCAACAAAATAAGAAGAAGATAAAGAACACATGCAATATGTATACCTGCTGGCAATGTATCTTCAAGAATATGTTGGAAGAGATAAACATGTTGTCCCCATCATACTGATGGGGAAACTAACATAGTAAGGAATGAAATGGCTAACTTTGTATCACCTACTAGGTGGATCACTCAACTGGGAGAAGAGTCCCTTGCTTACAAAGCACTGTATTCTTCAGAATTTGAAAATATTTTACAACTACACCATAGATATTATTTACAGATAAATGCAGGTGCAGAGGGGCTGCACAGTAACCACAAAGAGAACCTTGACCCATAGTTCTGTGGTCAGTGAAGCCCACCAAACTAACACAATGGGAAACAGAGTCATTCTAAAACTGCAGTCAAAACTCTTGTATAATTCCAAAGAGTACCTACATGATGTAGATGTAGAAATTTATCTACTTCCATAATTTATCAGTTTATTCATTAAAAATACAGTCCTCGGGTGCATTTTTCCTTAAATTTATATATAAAAATACATTTCTGTTTTTCAAGTACTTCCAGAAAGAAATTATCAGTTTATAAACATAAAAATTACCATATTTCTTGAACAAAATATTTGATACAAACTGAAACAGTTTTAGATAAGGCCCTTATCCCAAAATGAAATACATATACTCATCCAGATGAAGATTCAGGCCACACAGCTTGTGTATAGTCTTGATCAGTAACACAGACCATAACTAGCTGTACCCTGCTTTTGGAGTTTATAAAAATAAAAAATAATTCATTTACCTGAAGATGTAGAATGTATATTGGCACTGCTCTTTCTGAATAATTGCTACTTGACTAAGTGCTTGTATATTAAATTTTAACCCTGCACATATGGACATAAACAAGGCTTTATTTCCTGTTCCTTGTAGGAAGGATATCTGTAATCCAGTAGTGAAACAGAGTAATGATGAACTTGGTGTGATCTGAAACAAAGAAAAAATCACTCTATCAAAAAAATCATGCTATGATTCTATGCAAAATATTTCTCTTGAAACATTTTTATGATATTTCTGAACATTAAAGGAAAAGAGTTGAGTGAACACCTATTTTCATTCCATATTATCATTTCTTTAAAAACCATACAGAGACTTGAGATTGAAGGCTAATATATATGAATTCCTAGATCAACAGGAACATTTTCTTACAGGATGTCAGTTATTTATATGAGATACAATTTTGGTTTATATATTTGAATGCCTTTTTATTATGGTTCATTATTTCCGAAGAAATGAGGTTTAAATGACATGATCATCTAAAAGAGTGCAATCGTCTCCATTTCTTTCTGCAGAGTAACTTCACAAAGTTTGAGCTGAAAATGAGAATTTTTGCATTGAATCACATAAAGACTGCTGTATTAAAGCCCTAAAATTTCTGTCTTAATTCAAGGATTGTCTATTTAACTTTATTTCTTTTTTTTATGATAGGGATTTCTATGTTGCTTATCACATAACATCACATTCAAGATTATTTTATAATGTTATGTTAATACAGTTTCCACATTTAATTTCCTTTTCTTTGAATGCACATTCAAAAAAAAAGAAGTTTAATTTAGTCATTTCAGGGCCTCTATGTATCCAGCCTGCTTATTGTTGGCACACAGTAACTCCACTACTTCTGATGTGCAAAATGTACCTCTCACACAAAGGAGACATATATAAAGGACAACTCTTCAAAAAAAAGACAGTTAAAAGAAGTTTCCAGCTCATCTCTGAGTGATAATTTCCCAGGCAACGAGGGAAGAATATATTTGAAACTTGATACTAACCAGCAAAGGGAAAATGTTAATAGATAATGGAATGAAGTTGATGAGTAAAAACTGAATAAGTTGGTAAGTTAGGAGATAAATACATTGTTTTAAATTAGGTGATCACCTATGCTTTAATAACTGATGTGAAATAAGAATTAAGTAGCTCTCATTTCAACCAGTTTCTAACCAGCAAATGGAGTATCACTTCCAGTTTCTTTGCTTTTGCACACTGCACTGTGGAGAACCCTGAAGACAACTGGCTGCCTTCTACAAATGGCTACCAACTTATTGATCTAGACCTGCAAAGCTCCCATTGCTAGAAATGTGTGCCTATTTGAGTTCTAAACATTCTCTTCCCTATATTCATAGAAGACTGAAGAGTATTTTTTGTTAAAGGCTACAAAATAAATGGAAATACCAATAGGACTTTTTTGTTTTTAACCTGAACAGTGACAATTCAGACAACCATTTTCAAACAAAGCTTGTTGACCAGCCTCAATTTTACATGATCACTGATGGACAAAGTAATTATTCAGACGCTACGCAGTCTGCCATTTATGAGACAATGACGACTGAACAGATCAATCAGTAAGTCTTAATCATAGAGGTTCTTGCTCTCTTCTAGCAAGGAATAGCCTTTCTTTCTAGGACATCACATCCTAGTGAAGTTAAATAAAATCTGAAAAAAACAGCTTGTAAAAAAAATCAAGATTTCTAATATGTAGACATTCTTCATAAAAAGCCATATTCTGCATTTCTGTAACAAGTACTTGAATCTACTGAGACAACAAATCTTTATAATTGTGACTTTTATCACCTGTTCATTGGGAAAGAAATCTGAAATGTTAAAAACTGTGCAAAACTGCCTATTGTTGTGTCAAAGATAGGGAAAATAAATGTATAATTAAATGTGTAATTCAAGAAAAAATTTCAGAGCATTATATTCTCATTCACTGAAATTCCTCAATTACTAACTGCTAAATTTGGCTGAGTCAAATTAATATTTAGCAGGTGTTTAATTATCCTTTAATAATTCACAACAATATCATAGAATCGTGGAATCACAGAATGGTTTGGGTTGGAAGGGACCTTTAAGATCATCTAGTTCCAACCCCCTGTTATAGGCAGGGACACCCCCCACCAGACCACGTTGCTCAAAGCCCATCTAGCCTGGCCTTGAATCAATCTGTGAACCTGGCACAAGATCAGAATTGAGCCCAGTGACAGGAGTCACTGGCAGAAAAATCAACTGAAAAGTAAAGTTTTAAGTTGTATCAATAAAAATAAAATTTAATTAAAAAGAAAAAAAAAACCACATCACAAAAAAACCAAAACACTTCAGCAAATTGTTTTCTGTTTTTTTTTATGTGACAAATACAGATACTTGAAAACTAGAGTAATTCTATGGATTTGATTCTTACTTGTTTCATTTTCTCTTTTCAATTTGATATTTCTGTTACAGAAGAGGAAACAAGGGCAGCTTGTCTAGAGACTGCAAAACTAGCAGAATTCCTGCTATCTTGTGCAGAATTTGGGTAAGGCCCATGAGGAATATCTTGAATGTGGTCACTTCAACAGTTCCACTTGGATTTAATCAATAGAAGCTGATTTAGGTCATTTAATAAGGGGAGAATTACCATTACCACTATTCCTGCTGAGTCTTGCTTAGTTTGCAAATGTGTATTACATCTGACAAGACTATCTGACAAGAATTAAGATCATAAAATCTGGGCTTGCAATTAATTCTTGAACCAAATTCTTAAATGCAGGAATGATTTTGTTCCATGCACACCTGGACATTTTGTATCTATTAGAACTCCGAGGGCTGCCATAATCCTTTTTTATATCTTAAAGAATCTGTATTTAATGTAAAGAAAGTGCTTTAAGAACTTAATCATCTTGCACTCTGCAACTGCAGAATACAGAAACTTCATAACTAAACAAGAAATAGGGGGAATTTTTACATTTTCTGTGGGACTGATCCTTTCAAATCTTGCCTAAGCGTAGGCTTACTAGTATACAATTATTTACTGCCTCACAACACAAAAATCTGTGACAAATCTGAATTTTAGTCCACACAAAAAAAGAACATCAGAGAACGATCATGAGTCAATAGTACATACCAGGAGGCATCACGGAATGTTCTTGGAATTGTTTCAAAGCATCCTTCAGTCTGTCAATATCCTGTAGCAATATAAGGGATTTCATCTGATGTAGAAGAGTTAGATCTGAAGAAGATATGTTGCGAGATTCAAGACACTGTAAAAGCTCTTGAGCAGCTGAATTTACAGTAGAATCTGTGCATTTTGATTTATCTGGAAAAACAATAAGAATATTCAACATGCACAGAGAATTTTCACAGATGGCAACTTTCTTTTTACTACAACTTACAACCAAATATCACGTACTAAACAGATCTACTTTTAATTAATTATTTAAACAATTATAAATAGGGAAACTGTAAAAAGGACAATAAAATTCATCATGACACGAAGGCAAGATAAATCTAAATTTGGTATGAGAAAAGTATGATGTAGAGAGTGAACTGTCACCAAAGCCTTTGGTTCTTACACACTATGCATTATAAAAATGTGTTTTTTTTATTAAACCAGCAAACCAAGTTACAAGAGCAGGCTTTTCCCGACTCAGCTTTCTGATTTAAGTAGAAGGACTGTAACCCAATGTGACCTTTTGAAAGTGCTGCTAAAAACAATGGTTTCCAATTTTATCCAAAAAAATGGATAATTTAAAAGTCACTCAACTGGATAAGGCAAAGAGCATAATGGCAGAACAATATATATACTAAGACTCTCTTAGTAAGAGAGTTAGTCACACTGACTTACAGATGTAATGTCTTACCTGCCAGGTTTTCTGTCAGCTGTGCAGAACTGACCAGTTTTCTGTTCTTGGACACATATTAATAACAGAATGGTTAACTGAGTTTGCAGTTTTACTCAGTCTGGAATTACACTACTGCACATGCAAATGGTGTAGGCTACATTTACTTAGCCACACAATAAAGTAGGAAAATTCTGATTTCTGATGATGGAAGTACATTAGCTAGAAAGTAGGATGGTTTTCAAATATTAGACGTCACATGAAGACTTGACACAGCAGAAATATTTTAACAGTAAGCAAAGAAAATTCTACGCATAAATCTTGAGAAAAAAAATAGCATGAAATCCCTCGTGTCATCCTAATAGGGCTTTTAAAGTAATTCAGTAGTCGAAAGATGAATTTTATGGGAGTAGTTTTGACAGCTCTAACTTAAGGTGGGTTATATAGGTAGGTAAGCTGTTTAATATTCTTCATGTAGCTCCACAAAGACAGCCAAGGCCATGCACTCGGAAAATATTTTCACTGCTTTTTTTTTCCAATTTCATAAAACAGTTATAATTTTAAAGCTACGTTCTGAGCTGAGCAGCTAAAGAGCACAATATCTTACCTTCGAGAAAACACATTTACTTCTAGAAGATACCAACAGAATCTGGTGTAAGTACATATAATTACGATACCTACCATTAAAACATCATTATTTCTGGAAGACATTTATGACGCCATAGAAAGCATCATACACAAAACTTTTTTGGAGGGCAAGAGAAGAAACACATTTAGCTACAACAGTAAGAACTTCTCTGATTTTAGTGGCCAAAGTGGTTGTACAATAGGCTATTAGGGATCATAACTACGTAATCCTATCTAAAGTGCTACAGAAAGTGCATTAAGCATCAGCTGACATTCATCTTTTTCACAACTACTTTAAGGAAAAGTGAAAATACATTATGAAAATATGAAAAGTCATTCCCGACGCCAACAGTAACTTCCTCTTTCCTCTTGAATGCAATCTGTCCAGATTTCATTGTAAATTAGAAACAAACCTCCTCCTGGGAAGGAGAGCTTTTTGAAAAGTAGGTTGGATTGGAGACACTAAGCATGAAAGCAATTTAGAACAGCAATTATTGCCTTCATCTGAGCATTTCCAAAAGCAAGTAATACCGCTGGATGTTTGCTTTCAGAGAACAGAAGAATTTGGTCCATGTTAACCACTACACTTACTCTGAACACGCTGGAATATTTTAAAAATGAGAAAGAAATATTATGTGCGTTTTCAAACACAGAGAAACAAAGCAATTAGGACTACAGTTTTTTATGTTGATAAGGATGTTTTCTTGTATACACCAGAAAATGGGACAAATGCTAATTATCTGCATGACTTACGAGCTCAAAAGATACACTTCTCTAGTAGACTTGGCCCATTCTATGGAAATAAGAAGTGAACATCTATTTTCCTCACGTGGCAATATTCACAGAAGAAAAAGGAGAAAGTAATACATACTGTCAGCAAAATAAATTTGCTGTGTTGCCTGCAAGAAATCCAGAATACTATCTGCCTTTTCATCTGTGTCTTTTAAGTCTGCTGCTCCTTCTCTGTTGCTTTTGTCAGGCTGATATGTAAAATCCACACCGGTAGTTTTTGTTAGCAAGCCAGCTGCTCTCATTTTTTCTTTCTGTCGCTTCTTTTTCATTTTTCTCCTTTTGTTTTTGCTGATTTTGGAGCTGTCTATCTGCTGTAGATGTAAATTATCTTGAACAAGAGTGTCCCGCATTCCAGATTCTACTTGTTCTCCATGTAAATCATTAGAATCTTGTAAACTGTTCTTTAGTTTCTTTCTTCGAATGCGTTTTCTCTTGGTTTGTACTTCATGTTCCTCCTCTGCAGATTCAAAAACGAAATGATAGTTGTAAATAAGATTTGTAATAAGCACTTTGGAACTGCATAAAATGATACACTATTCCTTTCAAATTTTGGGACATCTGAGTGTCTCTAACTTTGCTTTTGATTAGAATTCCTTTGAGTTCTACAATGTCGAAGCCAACTTCTTTGAATGCATTAAGAAAAGCTCTTCTCCCTTTTACTTTCAATAAAGACTGTATTCTCCTTTGTGCTACATACTTTAGATTATATTACACATAATATGGTTCTGCACAGAGAGTAAAGCCAAAAAAGCATCAGGGCCAAAACTAGTGCGTGCAGGCTGGGGAGTATGGGATGAAGAACTCTCCTAAGAGGTCCACACTACCAGCTGCTAGACTTCGACCAAGAATGCAAAAAAGCATGTAATTCACAACGAAGGACTGATGCATCCCTCCATGATAGTACTGTGCCTTAAAAACATCAGACATCTGTTTCTGATTCTTCTACTTTCTTCTTCTTAAGCATCATTGTTCTTTGGGGTATCATACTGCTAGCTCAGCTTTGGACATCATCTTTCTAGGGAAAGCATGCAGGGCATCAGTGACCTTGGAAAGTAATCTGTGTTCCTTTAACAGCCTGCCTTGGTTCTGCCATTCCCTTGATACACTGTAATTTCCTTACAAGCTAATTCTTCAAAAGGTTCAAACACCAAGGGAAAGAAGTCCCTCCTGCTCTCCAAGACAGCTTTCATGTTGCTTTATTCATATCTTATCAGTGTACATAAAACTAGACCTCTGAATTTCTCACCCTGACCTCATTTCTGACCTTGAACTGACTTGCTCCCACACAAGTTCACTTCTGAATGCAAGCCCTCCTGGTACTAGCAAAGGAAGACTGCCAGAATCCATCCTCCTTTTGACTGCGCTGCTGCTGAAATCTGTATTCAAGCCTATAATAATTTCCCATGTAATGAAGTAAAATTCCCTCTTCCATAGTCTAACAAAATGCTCACACATTTAATCACGGAGCCCTGAATACCAGTGCTCCTCTAATGCTCTGCCATTATAAGTTAAGCCATTTATCCTCCCCTTAACCTCTACCTGCACATTTCTAAATTCCTCTCATCACACCGAGCCCGATCACCTGATTTTATGCAATTCTCTCTAGAATCTTTGCTTGTCTAATGCCAGAGTGATCCAGCAGAGACATCTGGAGCCCAAATTACGTTTCCAAGTGATCTGCGTGGTATCCTGAGCTGCCTCTGACATCCCCAGAGCGTTTGGCTTTCTCATCACTCCTCCCCCTCCAGTCTTTGCCTCTATTTTCTCCATAGATAGAGGCCTTCTCTTTCATTTCTGTTTCTTTTTCTGTCTTGAACTCTGTCAGCTCTGAGCCACTTTCTCTCTTTAAATATCACTAAAAGACTTTTAGTTCTTTAGCTGACAGATGACTCACCACAAAGCAATTTTCTATACTTTCTATGAAGAAGGCTGCATAAAAATAAATTTGCTGTATTGTAATTGAACGGCACAGCATGTTAAAGACACACCAAACATCACCTCATATCCACAGTGTGGAATGTTTTGCATGCATGGTATTTGAGCTAAATATCTTTATACATGATTTGAGCATATGGAACGTGGGAAAAATAACGTCTATGTGGTCCTGTAGGAATAAAATAGCAGAACTGAAGGCAGATATGAATGGTGAAAGATTATATAAACAAAACATCAGTGTTTCATCTCAAGATCTTAATTTGGAATTTCATGGGAGTACTTGTGTTATAATAGGTGAATTCCACTATAAACGCAGTTCCTTAAAATTTCTCAGCCCTCTGTTAACCTGAACACACTGTTTGCTAATACAGCTACTCTAATTTGGGCTCTCAGCGAAGTGGTACAACATGTTTTCATGCATCCAAGAATCCCTAAATCACAGCAAAACTATGGCATGTTGTGTAGTTAAGCACTCTCAATTGATTTTAAGCCACCTGAAAGAAAAATGGTGCACAAGGGAAAACAGGGCTTAAGATAATTAAGTTTTGTTCCAAATCCAGAAGTTTCCTTATCTGTGGCAGATCAGGACAGCAAAAGGTCTGAAGAGAGTAGGTGAAAGCGTCTAAATGCAGATTTCTTGTAGCATTCCTATATACCAGTGTTATTAGGATTACCTGATTAAAAGGAAATTAGAGCTGTACTGAGCTTCCTCCAACACAAGAAACAAATAAAATTCAAGACGTTACCAAGTTCTTTTCAACTTTTTACCATTCCTTGTCACATATTGTAACAAATTCTCAGTAAGACTGAAATTTTGCTCTGATTATTCCAGTTTTCCCCTCTTGACAACCACTGCCCGATGTATGGAACTAGTCATGGTCTGACACCAGCAAGAAATGAAATTAGATGCTGGGAAATGCAAAGCAATGTACACAAATCGATTAGTCTGGACAACTCACTGCTATGGTCAGAGTGAACTGTTCTAAATATGGGAAAAGCAACCAAAAACCAGACCTATGGGAAGCTCAACAAAAACATACGTTCAGTGGGTATCAGCGAGCAAATCAGCAAACACCTTGTATGCATACCAAAGAAACAGGATGGAAAACAACAACAACATTACAAAGCTATTACATAAATCTGCTGTACTCCTCAAGCTTGATAAGATTTTATTCTTAGCACAGTCCCAGCACAAGATGTTGTCAGAAGAGAACATGACTCTCATAGAAGTTATCAGAGACATGCCAAAAATATATGTATTACTTGACTGAAACAAAGATTAATAAAATGGGCTCTATTTCTGCCTCCTTATGCAAGAACAAGGTGACACCTAATTAATCTGAGCAGTTTCACAAGCAAATAGAAAAAAAGTAAACACCTGTTTTCTGAACAATACAGTTAACTTATTAAATTGACAAGCGTGCAGTAAGCAGAGAAACCAAGAGATTAAAGGGATTCAAGAAGTGGTTGTTTATGCAGGCAGCAAGGCTACCTGGTTACAACAGTTATGCTAATACATAAATAGGAGTTGTAGAAAAAATACAAACACTAATGTTTAAGTCACAGCCCACGGAGTGATATTAAATCAAATGTTCAGTAGGAGTCAGCTCCTATAACTTGAGCTGTCTAAAAAGTATGTACTTAGTGCATACTTAGAAGTATGCTCCCTCTATTAAATCCAGAGGCCAGAATTTTCATAAAGCAATTTGCCTCATCCTAAACCACCTGCAATGGAAAAGCACCCTGATGGTCTTCACCACCTCTATCTCCCTCCCTCTCTTAACTACAGAGGAAATGCAGACAGTGAATTTGTATTAGATACTTTCAACAATTGAGAAGAGTTAGTCTCTTTTACAAAAATTGGCAACATGGAAAAAGATTCTTCTTTACGAGAGCACCAAAGTCTGGCTCTGATTTTTTATTAATGAACAAAATCCACTGTCCTGTGCACACAAACTTTTGTCTGATTCTCAACATTTCAAACCAGCAGGAATTTTAAAAATTTCAGTAGAAATCAACCTGGCTGCAATAATTTTTCACATGGGCTGAAGAGGCTGATTATGTCACAGTGTCACTATATGAAAAATGTGTCATGTATATTACTTAAGCAGACTTAATGACAAGTTAGATCATAGTATCATCAAATGATAGAAGGCTTGGGTTGGAAGGAACCTCAAGGATCATGAATCTCCAACCCACTGGGCTGCCAATCTCCACATTTAATACTAGACCAGGAGCCAGGGCTGCATCCAACCAGGCCATGAACACCTCCAAATGAATACAGATACTTAACTACCACAGAAAGACACCAGCTTTTGACCACACAAACTGTACTCACAACCTTGTCCCAACCCAACAAGATTCTTCTCTCTCTGTACCTACCAGCTGTCACCTCTCTCCCTCCTGTAACCCCTCTTTGCTCCACATGCAGCTTAGTTTATCACATAATCTAACTATCCAGAAGCAACTGTCTTCAATCTGTTTAGCCTAGACTTGCTGTCCTCTGTCTGACTGAGCAAAGTAGCTCCCAGATAGAATGTTCATGACCATTTTTCACCTATGGTAATTTCTTTTAGCCTTAAATAAGTGTTAATAGGAACACTCTTCAGGATCTGCTAGGAATTTAACTTTTTTTTCCCGACTGGATTATTTTTAGCCTTTCTTGATGTAGTTTACCATGCAGATGCACAGTCACACTAGTCTGACTGACAGAGTGATGTAAAAGTGGTAATGAATAGCCTGAAAAAAAGACAAAAGATAAATGATTTATTAACAACTCATTTTATGTGGTCTGAAATGTAAAAAATCTTCTCTATGCAAATCTCATGTCTCCTTAACAGAAGAGGGGCACAGCTCCACCAATGAAGACTTGAAGATGGTTTATAAAAACTACTTACTGAATTTTGATAATGAAAAGTTCACATCCAGCTTGTTTCTTCGGAAAAAAAAAAAGCATATAACATAAATAACAGTTTACATTAGAACTTTGAATTTGCTGACTTTATTTATTAACCTCTATGGAGTTAGGGAGCTAATTTATGTAATTCATCAGTAGCTGGAGACACAAAGAGATTAAATTCCATAAGGTAAGAGCAAACTATTTCTGCTGTGTCTCCCACTCCCACTAACCATGAGTATGAACACATTGCTGGCAAATACATGATTGAAAAGGGCTTCAAGCCCAGCTGTATTTTCCAAGTGCCTTCATACAAACAACAGAGGAAAATATCCAGGGAAAGCATCACATAAGACAATGAAAGCAGGAAGACTATTTATTCAGGTGTCTGCAAGTCTAAGAAAGGTATGCAAAATTTCATAGCATGCCAAACTCCAACTACCCGAAAACAAACAGATGATGGTAAGGATTTTTAAAGAACCCTAAGTATTATTAGAACTTTCCTTTAGAACAGCACAGCCCAAAAGAAAAAGAAGAAGATAAAGCAGCCTGAGGAAAAGACAGACAAAGAACATCCTCTGAGCTCCTCTATAACACACTCATCATAACTCAAGTACAGTAGCTGG